ATGGTGTTTCAGAAGAAACAGAATGGTCTGAGTGGCCGAGCCACATAAGAAGATTCCAGGTTTATGTCCGAGACTTCCGGGCGCCCATGTGCCCATGACCCAGAGAACTTTTTGACCTTCTTTGGATTCTTAATAAATATCAATAGTTACAATATAAGCAGGAAGTTATAAAAATTAAGATAACTAATAAAGTAAGAAACAATCTGGTAGTAACTGCTATCATATTATTCCAGCACTTACCTAGATGTCTTTTGTGAGAGACTTTGTTTATAGTTGAACAAAAATTCTTACCTAAGGTCCTGAAATGGGTCAGCTGTGACAAGGGGCGTCTCCACTGAATGTTCAAAAAGAGCCCCTCCAGGCCCTAAACAAAAACCAAAGCTGTATCAGGGACAACAATGAAGTAAGTAGAACCGAACAAGTAAAAGTCTACATAGTACAACACAAACAAGTCACCTTCTTTTCTGGTGAGTTTGTGCAGGTGTGTGAGTTGCAGAGAAAATTAGGGTCAACTGTTTCTCTATTTTTCTGAGGCTATTACAGTTTTACTAGGTTCTGATGAACAAAATATGATTTTGGGGACCAGCAGTTAGTGTAATGGCTATGTCGCTGGACTCCCACATAGTCGACCGCAGTTAGAGTCCCGGACCTGGTGGCTTAAACTCATCCCGGGCGTGTGTGCATGTGTGCCCAGGATCCCGAGAAGAGATGGAGGAGAAAGGATTGCAGTGTGGCCATCCCCCCTGGGGGGTGATTTCTCTCTTTCTGTCTCTCTGTCTCTGTCTGTCTGGCGAGCGCACACGCCCTATAGCAAAAACCTCTCAAAAACAAACAAACAAACAAACAAACAAAAACAAAAACAAAAACCCCAAAATATGATTTTTAAATCAGCAGGCTTATTTGAAAACTAGAGAACAATACTAGCCTTCAAATTGAAAAAGAAAAACCTGCGAAAAATGGTATATGTCTCTGTATTGTAGGTAATAGTAATTTGACTAATTCTGTAAACTTTATGTATAAACACTGTATCTTCTGCCATTCATTTGTTTCTAAGATACATTAGGATATTAATAGAAAACTCAAAAGTTTTAAATATCTTGAATGGCCCTTCTATATTCCAGGATTTTTTCTAGCTTCATGCGTCTGAGAATCTGATTATATGTGTCCATGGGGGTGCTGGCATACACAGCTGAGAGTCACATGCTCTTTGATGGGCCCTACCTTGTTTAATACTCAGGATCTCATGAAGCATATGAAGCAGGTAATATTTTCCTATTTTACCCATGAGGAAACTGAAGAACAGAAAGGTTAATTAATTCATCTAGGGCTACACAGCTAAGTGACAAGGATATAACTTGAATTGAGAACCTAACTTAATCTATATGCTACAAGCTTTCTCATACATAAATAACAAACAACATAAGATAGACAGTAACGTGCCAGTAGCAAAAGGCCACCAAGTTAATATGGGCGTCGTCGGCAGGGAAGCATTACTTTATAGTTGCAGGGAAGATGATCTAGCAGAACGCTGGGGTTCTGAACCCAAAAACAGACAATTATGAACGTATGGTGGTTATGGACAAGGATTTCAAGAAGAGCACTAACCCAGGGTGAGAGAATGTGGTCAGGGAGGAACGAATGAACAACCCAGTTCACCAGAAAAGCAAAGGATTCTTCATGGAAATACAAATTTATGTTTCACATTATATTTAAAATATTTCTCCTCTTGAATTATATGTACATAAGCACAGATTTAAGTAGCACTGCATTGTCCATGCACATTCGTCATGACATACCATAACATAGGTTAGTCATGCTCATTTTAGACCCTGTCCCTGGCTTAGGCCCCGCCCATGGTTTCCGGGCAGTGGCTGTGGCTTACAAATATAATCAGTCCTTGAATAAGGTAGGAGTTGGGGTGTGAACCCCAGGTAATCGAAACTCCCTGCATAAATTTTGACATCCTCAAAACTTAACTACTAATAACAGTGTTGACTGGAAGGCAACTGATGAAGCATGAACAGTTGATTAGCACATATTTTGTAATTCATATATACATGTATATACACACTATGTACTGTATTCTTTTAAAAAATATTTATTTAATTTTATTTATTCATTCATTTATTTTTAATTTGACTAGACAGAGATAGAGATAGAGATAGAGATAGAGAGAGAGAGAGAGAGAGAGAGAGAGAGAAAGGGAGAAAGGGAGAAAAGAACTCGTCAAGTCCGGGACTCAAACTGTGTTCAGCCATATGGGAGTGTATACCCCCTTAACCACCATGTCACCTGCTGGTCCCATATGTACTGTATTTTTATAATAAAGTAAGCTAGAGAAAAAAATGCTATAAAGAAAATCGTAAGGAAGAGAAAATACTGTTACTGTGCTGTGTTTATGAGTACCATAGTTTACTACATTGTCTGTTTACAAGATGCATTATCTGTTAGCGCATTATCTATATTAACTCATATGATACAGAACATGGTAGAGCTTATATGTATAACTAACACCAGACTTCAAACAATTAAAAACAAACTATTACCAAGTATAATATTCATAAATTGATAACGAAGCAGCAATATGATTACTTTACAGTAGCTTAGTGTAATCCATACAATTGCTTCATGAAAGCTTAGCCTATACCCTAATGAATACATTGAGTAATGTTAGAACATTCTTTGTGAGTTACTGTTCACAGTTCACAGTGTTGTACTAATCATGATGAAAAATATGCAAGAATCACGAGAAAGCACTTTTTATTGCTATATGCAATTTACCAGAGACAACTATTCACACAAAGATGATTAGCATTACAGGTGTTTTTAAGGGAATACTTGAGCTCCACTGAAATAGCACAGAAGGTGATTACAAAATTGGGAATGTACTACAGTTAATTTGTACAGTTATGATTTAATACCTCATCTTTGCTTGTTTACATTTCTGCAAAGTTTTTTTGAAACTGATACAAATATCCAAAATTTTCTTCTACATTTATTGAAAAAAAAAAAAGAGGACTATGTAAGTTGCTTCTTTCCCTCTTGGTTCCAGAAGGATCTCAGGACATCCTCACACAGTGTAGGCTTTCTTCTTCAGGAAATAGTGAACCAATTAAAATCTTTTCTTTTTCCGATTTACCTTTGTACTAGTCTTGTATTAGACACTGAAAAAGGAATCACCCGGGTGAAAGTTTCCCAGACATTAGGTTGAGAAATCATCATCCCGGGCAAAGTTCTTGTCAGCAGCCCTTACCAATTTTACAATTCACAACACCCACACAATTTTTTTCCTCACAAAATTACTATGTTAGCTTTGTTATTATAATTACTGCTGCCTTAGTAATTTTGTTTAAATATGAGGACGTGACAAAAACCCACACTGAAAGAAATTCAAGAAATAAGATTATTCAAGAAATAAAAGAAGCTTGAACAGTATGGGGTAAAATTTTAAAATTATAACCAGATTTAGCATGATTTACATAGAAACTATAGTCAACTGAAATAAAGGCACACACATAAGTGACGGTTAATGTTTCATGAAAATTATAATTCATGCAAATTATATTTAGATAAGAAACAGATCCTCATACATGCTCTATCAAGTCACATCTTTTTAAAATACCACTTAGGCAAAACTAAATGGTAATGGGGACCATTATGTAAAATAAGACTATACTAAGCACTGGAGTTTTGCACAATAAACCGTGCCAATCAAGTTTTATAACGCAACGTCTGGTTTGCCTGAAATAGACATTTGTTATGTGGGATACAATGGGGAATAATCTACATCATAATTTGTATGATGCTTGTATTTCTTCTATCTTTTTATTTCCGCTTTGTTTCTAATTTGCAAAATATAAAGAAAATTTGACCTCAAGTCAATTATTACTTAGACAAATAGAGACATAAGTATAGTTTTTTTAATTTTAATTTTATTTTATACATTTTTTAAGAATTATTTTATTTAACTTTATTTATTTTATTTAAATTTGACCAGATAGGGACAGAGTGAGAGAGAGAAAGAGATAGAAAGTGAGAAAGCAAGCTGCCAGGTCCAGGACTTGAATAGTGGTTGGCCATGTAATTACTGTATATCACTTCACTTGTAAGTTGAATTTAAACAGCATGAATATTTAAGTAAATAATAATAATAATAATTTTAATTTAATTTATAAATTTATTTTATAATTATAATGAATTATAATTAATTATTAAATTAAGTAAGTATAGATTTATACTTAAAGTATAGTTTTATATTATACTAATTTAAGTATAGCTTTACATGACAAGTGGATTTATTAATTAAGCACACTTAATTAATTTAAGCATAGCTTTACATGATATGTGGGTTTATTGGGGTTTATACAACATTGTTTGAAATATGACTAGTACTTTGCTAGGAAGAACCTAGGATGAGCTATAAATCCTTAAAAAAATAATGATTTTTATCTCATAGTTAAAATAATAGTAACAAAAGGAATATAGGCCATTTATGTAATTACTTTGTTTCTTTATATTTATATGAACAAAATGATATGATGAGAAGTGTCGACACATTTTATTTTCTACAAACATACTGCCTTTTGTGAGAAGTTTGTATTTATTTTCTATATGAGATATAGAAAAAGAGAGAGACACACTCTCGGTAGGGTCTCATGCTATAACCTACCCCGAGCCCTTTCCCAGCCAGCCAGCCAATATCATGCGTGTACAAGTCGACCCTAGAACTGAATTGCTGTCCTCCATCTGGCCTCCGGCATTACAGTGTTGTGTTACCACTGTGTCACCATGACTGGGTTGAACATATACCCCTTTTAAAACAGAACCAGAAATTGCAATGTATTCCAGTGCCCTATGCAATTCATTATTTTTAAAATTTAAGTTCAATAACTGAACACCTCTATAGCATAGGTATTTATTTGAGTTTAGTTTCAATTTTTTTCCTTCTAAGAACTAAACATATTAAAAGAGTGTCAGTAAAATTATTTTACAGCAGTTAGTGTAATGGCTATGTCGCTGGACTCCCATGTAGTTGACCGCGGTTTGAGTCCCGACCTGGTGGCTTAAACTCATGCTGGGCGTGTGCGCATGCATGCCCAAGATCCCCAGAGGAGAATGGAGGAGAAGGAATTGTGGTGTGGCCATCCCCCCCCGGGGGGGTGTGATTTTTCACTTTCTGTCTTTCTGGTGAGCGCACGCACCCTATAGCAAAAACCTCTCCAAAAAATTCTTTTATAGGAAGATATAATTAAATAATTAGTTTTTAATTACATACTAATTACTTATTTACTCATATGCCACATTAGTGCAATTGTATTGACATGTAATTATGTTCATGTAGATAGAAAATCTACAAACTGATAT